AGTGCATGCGTAGAATTTTTTTTTTGTATGTTGAATTCTTTGATTCTGTCAGGAGTTTAAACTTCTAATCCCTGTACTAAATCATCATAAACCACAACCAGTCTTTATTGCCTTGAAAAAAGAAAAGAGGGGGTTGGAAGATAGCTTAGTATGCCAAGCGCTCACTAAACAAATGTGAAAACCTAAGTTTGAAAGCCACTTTGCAGTCCTTTGCATCTATTATCCCAGTACTCTAACGATAAAATGACAGGCAGTGACAGGAGAACCCGTGATAACTAGTAGGCCAACTAACCATGCAGCAAACAAGATAAAGAGGTGTGGGCCCAGAAATACCCAAATATATGTTCTCTGACCTCCCTTCATCCATAACATGCTCTAGAATGCATGTATACACACAGATACACACACATAGACACATGCATGTGTCCACAAACATACACACATGTATGTGCCCACACAGACACAGGCGCCCACACGAATGCATCATCCATAAGCACAAAAGATAAAAATGGAGATTATATCAAAACTAAATCAATCTCTAAAAGATTAATTCACCTTAGAAGTTTATGCACAAACCATTTCGTTTTGAGTTTTTATGGTGGGTTACAGAAAACCTTCATGCATGGTGATAAAGTTGATTCCTAGTAAAGCACAATTACAGACCTGAAGTGACCCTGCTAACATCTGACATGAGCCTGTCCATCTGGGTTTCTGAGATAGATTACATAACTCCTTAAACAACTTCTGCTTTCCTTTTCTTCCATTCCATTGGGGTTATAAAGTTATGATTGGAAACTTCTATATCTCCAAAGGAAGAATATAAATTAGAAGAAAAATGATTTGCTTTAGTCAAATTCCCTAAGTTAAGGTACATATATGCCAGAAATGCTTCAGATCTGTATCTCAATTGAACACATGTTGACAATTTAATCAGTGGAGACAAACACAAGAAAAATTGAAATGCTAGCTATCTTTTCATTTGGTTTGACAGGAAGAATCTGGAATCTTCTGACAATTCTCTGATTTTGAGTTGATATTCTTTTTGTTCACAATAAACCACATACTATGGACAGTTAAAGTTGGGTGGAATTTAAGATAATCCAAGCAAAAGAACTAATTTTACAAATAAGAGTGTACCATTTGTGTTAATGGTACCACTGTATTCCATTGGTCTATGTTAAAGACCTCCACATATCATCATTCTTCATTTCCAATGCCCTAAAGAATAACTGTTCAGTACACACACACACACACACACACACACACACACACACACACACTAAAAGTCTACTTCAAGCCACCATCAGTTCTTACCCAGATTTCCTTAGTAACCGCCTATCTTGTCTCCCTTATTCTAGCTTTGCTCTCTTACAGTGAGTTTTGAAAAGGGCAGACAACATTATACTGTGAAAACCAAAGTCATGTCACTCCTAAGTTCAAACCTGCAATGACTCTATTTTCCTTTCCAATGCAATTCAGAGTCATTACGATGACTACAAGACCCATGACCTCATTTCTTACTGCTTCCCCTTCATTCAACTAGCTTCATTCACACTAACCACCTCACTGCTCCCAAGAAAAGCAATCACCCACAGGAATTCACTCTTCCCTCTGCCTGCAACATTCATTTCTGTTATCTGTAAAACTTGCTCCTTAATCCTCCTAGCAATGATTTTTTTCTCAGTGAGGCCTACTCTGGTAATACTGTTATAGGAATAATATGGGCCTAATCCCCACATTCCCTTGTGTTTTTTTTTCATTCTTCAAATAAAATCTAATATACCAATCTACAATATATTGTTATTCATTTTCTGTTGGCTTTTGCTTTGTTTTCTCTAGTGCTGGGGATGTAACCCATGGCTTTGTACATGCTAAGCAATCGTTTTTCCACTGAGCTTACAGCCCCAACCATTTAGTATCTCTTCTGCTCACTATAATATGAGCTGTATAAGGACATGATTTCTTCTCTGTCTAGTTTGGGGCTCTGTTTCTGATGCCTAAAACAATACTTGGTACACTAAGGCTCAATATGATTATGAATGACTCTCATATTCCATTTTATAAATATTTAATGCCTCATGCTACTGTAAGGACTAATAACCCAAAGGCATTCAAGCTCTGAATGACTTGGCCCCAGGCCACCTTCTACTTCTTCCCTTCTGACCCCTGTACTACATAATACAAAAACTGAAATCTTTTGTGTAGTGCATTCCTATGATGTCCTGTTTGTACTTTTGCACATCCATTGACCTGGAATATTCATTTTAGAAGGACATTTCTAAATTTCTATTTCTATTTCTAGGTGCCTCTTAAATTTAAATTTTGACTACTGGCAAACCAAATGTGGAACCCTGGTAAAATAAAACTGGATAACGACTCTGCTCTATTTTATTCTTGAAGAATTTCTCCCTAATACGTATTTTCAAGAATGATAGAGCACCCCAAGGGAGAAAGCAAATTAGATACACTTAAAAAATTATCTCAATTACTTATGATAGAGAGCCATAAAGAAAAAACACTCTGCTCTTGATTTCTTGATTTATAAATTTTATTCCACTACACAAATACATTCTATATAAATGGGCGCATTTACTGTAACATGGTTATTTTCTAAAATATTTGCTTTCAAGAGCTAGAAAAAAGGCTCAGCAGTTAATAACACATACTACTCTTGTAGAAGATCCAAGTTTGGTACCCAGCACCCACATCAGGAGGTTCTCCTATAACTCCAGCTACAGAAGAGCCAACACCTTTTCTGATCCTGCAGACACCTGCACACACACATCAGACAATCACACAAACATATACATGCATATGCACATAAAAAAAATAAAAAGTAGTTATAATTTTGACTTGACAAGTGGCATATTTCCTAAATATAATAATATTTAAAACTTTCCGTTAAATTGTGTGAGGGAAATAACCATGGTATGCTAAAGAGGAAAATGTTTAGCAGACACAAAGTACCTGAGTTTCAGAAATTGTGATTTTTCATCACTGTATACGAAAATGTGCTGAAATCATAGTATAAGTCACAAATGGTCATCAATAGAAAATAAATGATTTCTGCCACATGACTGAACATCAGTCAAAAAACGACACCAAACAGGAAGTTCAAAGAACTGTAAAGAGCTGTTTTGGGGCAAGTTTAAAGCAATCATGTTCATATGAACTGATCTTTCTCTTTTTTGTAAGAATATTATATAATCAGTGAAGGTAGGGTATTAATGAGTTCACTAGACCCAAGATAAACGATAAATAGCTGTTTTATTTTGGAACAAATTACACAGATAATAGTCAAGAACCACCGTGGCATCCCTCTCCAGAAAAGATGTGAGAGCGAGCCTACCCTGTGCTCTCTACCTTCTGGTCCACATATTAACTGATATTAAAAACACATTTTAAAATTATTGTATTAAAGTACACCTTCATACAACCAACCATGGTGGTGCACACCTCTAATCCCAGCATTCTGGAGGCAGAAGCAGGTGAATCTCTTGAGGTTGAGTCCAGCCGGATGTGCATAGCAAGAGTTCTAGGACAGCAAGGGATACACAAAGAAAGCCTGTCTGCAGTATAATACAGTGGTTGAGCATTCACCGAATATGTATGAGAGACTATGAGTTAGGCCCTCAGCACAGAAAAACATTATTTTAAAATAAATAGACAAACACTTCATTTCTAAGTGGTTTTTAAGAAAAAGTTCTCAAATCATTTCTGAATTTACTTTATATAGACTGAAATATCTTTCCCACAGGCCATGGAGGTAAAGATGTATCTTACTTCTTTGTACAAAGTATAGATCTATACATATACATAGAATTAAAAAATTAAAAA